TTGGCACCACTGGGTTTTATATCCTCTGATAAGGGCGCAATAAATCCTTCTCTTGGAGGTCTTGGAGGACAAGATAATCTTAAGAATTCAGGGGGGGTCTCTGACCATCTTTTCAGTCTCTGGGTTATATAAACAAAAAGTAGTTTGTGCTTTAATATCATGTTATAGCCTAACATATATATGTATTATACCACTATTTCTAAGTTTCATCAATAACAGAAATAGAGGGAACTGTATTAACACAACAAAGTTTTCTAACCTTATACATGTAACATTCACTTTAATGTTTGTGAAAAGCCAATAATATAATATGCAGTTATAACAATATTTATGTTGTTATTATTATTGCTATTATTAATAATAATACTATATTGTTGCCATACTAAATAATAATAATAATAATAATAATAATAACAATAATATTACTGCCACACTACTGTTATTATTAATAACAGTGTCACCAGGTGTGCTCAGTGTCACTGTAGGTGTGCTCAGTGTCACTGTAGGTGTGACAGTGTCACTGTAGGTGTGCTCAGTGTCACTGTAGGTGTGCTCAGTGTCACTGTAGGAGTGTTCAGTGTCAGTGAAGGTGTGACAGTGTCACTGTACGTGTGACAGTGTCACCAGGTGTGCTCAGTGTCACTGGGGCTGGTGCCCAGTGCAGCTGAGGAAACCCGGGGTGAGATGTCCTCACATGAACCACGGGGACAGCGACAGGGACAGTGATGGAACAGGGTCGGGAAAGGGATAGGGACAGGGATGGCACAGGGACAGTGATAGGGACAGAGACAGTGATAGGGACAGGGACAGTGATAGGAACAGGGTCAGGGGCAGGGATAGTGTCAGGGATAGGGACAGGGATAGGGATGGCACAGGGACAGCGATAGGGACAGCGATCACAGCACACCCTCCCCGACACCTCTCCGGGCCCACCCCGGAACCTCCAGGACTCCCCGGCAGCTCCGGGCGGGGCCGGGCCGGGCTCAGCCCCCGGGGGCGGTGGCAGGGGAGGTGACAGAGGCGGTGGCAGGGGAGGGGACAGAGGCGGTGGCAGGGGAGGGGACAGAGGCGGGGACAGGGGCGGTGGCAGTGCCGGGGTCGGTGCGTGCGGCTGCCCCAGCCCGGCCCGGCCGAGCCCGGGGGGAGCCGCGGCCGAGCGGGGCCATGCGGGGCCGGGCAGG